CAAGTGTCCATTCTGATATTTACTTTGGTTAACATAATCTTAGGAGGAAGGATCACTGAGTATTTTTTAAGGCAGATAATGCTCAAAGAATTATTTTAATATTTCTAATACTCATGATAGTATTTATATGTTAACTATTTCTAAAACAGTGTTGGTTTGCTCTTGAAATGAAATTAAAATGTAAGTACATCAACATGCTTTTGCTTTTTGGTCATACTTGTGTTCTTTCATGATTCATCACTTTGGGCAATTTCTAGAGATTTGTCTTATTGGTTATATTTCAATACAGTTCCTTGCAGAGTATTAACAATGCAGTCATACAGACCTCTATGTGAGAAGAAACCCAAATGAATGTAGTGTGTTTAGGATTGCAGTAATGACCCAGTGGAATGATCTCTGGACTTGAAAGGGGATTTGCATGTATTTGAACTATCCATTGCTTCTTATGGTAGATCTAAGGACAAGCAGAAACTTTGTAAAATTCTTTCTGCTAAAATTATTAAGTTTTAAAATTCATAGCTTCATATGTTTTCAGACAGTTCTGGTTTTATAGGCCAGAATGTGAAACTTCTGGGTGTAGTCCATAAAGAAGTTCTGTAAAAGTGAGTGACATAAATTCTGTGTGGTCACATGTAACTTAACCTATTATGATTGTGAAATTTGCTGATTGGATTACACCTTTATTTTAATAAAATTTACTTTTGAATGAGATGTTCCATTTGTTTCTTCAGGAGTTGAGAAATGCATTTTCTAATGCATGAACGCTGCACTTTTTATTAGCCTATCAGTCATCAGATATTTGGTATGTAGGTTTCTGATGTTTATGGGTCAAATAATGCGAACATTTAACAACTGAAGGCTGTGTTTTGTAGGGAAGAGGCTATATTTTGCTGTTTCTGATGTCTGTTATAATACATTTGAAGGTTAATTAAGTTACTGACTTACTGTATTAGGCAGCTCACAACGTACAGCTTAGAAAACATATATGAAGAAATCCCTTCCCCCAACAGCATCTTTTCTCTCTCACAGTTCTCTTGGTCAACTGTGAATTTATAGATAGGCTATCTGCTTGATGTCAGAACACTTCCTCTTTAAAAGAAGGCTAATTTAAAAGATTTCATTTAAAGTATGCAATTGTAATGAAGATTGAATGCTTACTGTATATGCATTATGAGTTTAGGTTATGGTCATTGACTTATCTAGCTGACAATAAGTATTGTGAAACTTACCCTTGGGTAGAAATCCATAAGAGTGTTTGTGTGTGTGTGTGTGTGTGTGTATCAGTGTCTTTTTAGGCAGTGTTGTATAGTTTTCAGTTGTTGTATGAGATTCAGTCCTAAAGAAGCTTGAAAGGCTGGCCAAAATTTTGACAGTCTAAGAATCGGTGTTGCATTTCTTGACTGAAATATGTAGAAAAGCAATAAGCCAAATCTAGGGAAATGGTTTCACATCTATATGCTGTATTCTGTAAGATTACGTTTCCGGGTTTTTTTTTCATGAAAAGGTAAGAGTCATAAAAAAACAAATTGATGCTTTAACTCAAAAATCATTTAACAAACAGCAGTATGAGATAAACCTTTTATCTGGGTGGCATGTGTAAATATAACCAAAAAAAAGGCTGTGCATTCTGAACGACATTTTTTTCTACACTGAAAGATGATATAACCAAATCAAAGGGAGGTAAAGCTAGACTTAACCATTGAGAAGAAACTTCTTGTTTAAGCTGTTTCACAACAGTAATAGAAAGGTTCTATATTATCGTTTTAATATATCAAGTAAATTAGAAAAACTACAGATACCTATAGCAGTACTAATAATGATGAATAAAAATTGATTTTTTTTCAAAACTATTTAAACTCAACATTTTCTGTTCATAAATTTCCATGTTTTAAAAAAACATTAATTAATGCAATACATGAATAATGGCATTGCGGTGACCTAGGCTTCACAGAAATCACATCAGCAGTTAAATTTGTCCATAATGTATGTCATTTGAAGTCCACAAGCATCGTGTTACTTTTAAATATGGCATTATCTAGTGAAATTTTGCATACATAATGTATTAAATATTCGGCACATCTGAAGCAAGGCTGTGTGAGATTCCTTGGTGAGCTTTGGAGATGACTAATGTGAAATGATGTTGCTTGACAAGGTTGGCACAATAATGCGTCCATATGACATTTGATTTGGTACCAGTGATTTAATTAAAGAATGTAGTTCGCTTTCTTGGATGCACCTTTCCTTCTTTCTGTAGGAAAGTTAAGTCAAAGAAGCCAGCAGTTGCTTAGGTACACAGATAGATTCTCAGAACCTGTTTACCTACTAGAGAGTGCTTCAGAGCTCATGAAGATTCACCCTCTAAAAGTGTAAGACCCTATCATAAATGTATTCTTGTGTGAATAATGTATCTAAGCTTATTGCTTATCAGCACAGCATTCTTATAATTTCCAAGCTTCCATACAACCAAGCTCTTTCCCCATCCTGTTGTATATGATCCCTTTTACAATACACATGCATGTTTGCATGTGTATTTGCTGATATTTATTTTCCCTTGAAAGGTTTAGGGACTGCTAGTGCTGCAAAAACTATTTGAAATTTCAGTATGTGTGAGTATATATTTCCTTACATTTCCTTAATTTAAATGTATTTACTTAAATTTATTTATCGGACATCTTGCAGCTATGTTTTCATCAGGAAATTTTAGGGAGCTCCAGGTCCAAGTCCTCTCTCAGCTATGGAAGCTCACCAGGTGATGTTGGGTACATCTGTCTCACTGGGCTGTTGTAGGAAAAAGTGTAGGAGGAGATGCTGTGTATGGCTCCTTGAATTCTTAGATGGAAAGTGGGATGTCACTTTAACCCAGAGTAAGAAATTACACTGAGTCCGTCAACATTGCTGTAGCATTGTGCTACTGTTGCTGTGTTTATTTTTGTTTGTTTGCCTTAGCATGTTGTGGAAACCCATCTAGTGTAAACTCTGGTTTCTGCCTTGGAATGCATCTGTACAAAATCCAAAGAAAAATTAAAACAAACCAAGCCATATTATGGCATGAGGTTATATGCAAACTGGATATCTTATATCATAAAGAACAGTAACTTAACACAGTATAAGGCCATTTTTCTACTACTGCCTGCTTGACAGCTCTGTTCATTTGCCATACAGTATGGATGATTTGTTTTGCTGAATGAAGCTGTCACAGCAGATGTCTTTTCCATGGAGTCACAACTAGATCCCTGAGCTTTTCTATTACTCCGTCCCTAATTCCCCTACTCTGTGTCTCAGCAGGCCGATTGGTGCAATCCATTTGAAGTCTGGGTTCTTACAATTATTCTGAATACCCAGTAGGATTACTGCTGGGTCAGGTTGCTCCTGTCCTATTGAAAGAGGCCACTAAAAAGGACTTTCTCAAACACTTGGGGCTTAATTTGGTGTTAAAAAGTGTTTGTGGATGGTGGAATTCCCAGATGATCTTATCAGAGCATGTGAAGACATCCTGGTTAATTTCCTGGGAGGGACTGTTTATTTTAGCTTGGTTCTTAATAAAAGCATTTAGCATATTTTAGAAACTCATATTAGTGATTTCTACGTTAGACTGTAGCTTGGTTAGGTGATCAGCTCTGTCACACCACTAAGCAGAAGTGTCTAGATTTTAGTGGATTCAGATCTATCTATCTATCTATCTATCTATCTATCTATCTATCTATCTATCTATCTATCTATCAATCATCATATGCCACCCATCTCACAGAAACGTGACTCTAGGCAACATTCTTTTGACCTTTCAATAGGACTAAGTCTTGAACCAAAATTCTTTGCCATAAGTAGATTATGTAGCTTGCTGAAAAATGTCAAAACATGAGCAACAGCTTAAAATCTGTTTTACACTGATGGCTAGCAACATTTCCAATGTATTATCTTTTCCCTCCCCCCAAATTTAGAGAAACCATAAATAATATCCATAAGGTCTGGCGGGGAAAGGGACAAACAAAAATATGCTAATTTTTATTCAGAACAACTTGAATTGTAATTTAAGTTGACCTGAGTTTGTTAATTTTTCTTTTCTTTCTAAATATAGTGTAGCACTTTAAGGAGTAAGAAGTGTATGCATATTTTTCTGAAAGGTGTTCAGAATTGCTTGAAATGCATTTTTTTCTAAATAGGAAAAGGAGGTAGAGTATTGCAATACATAAAGAAAAAAAAATTTTAGAGGGTGGGGAACATCAAAGCCTATGTGCTAAAGCTACCTGCAGAATGATAGGAAGCTGTAGGATTTTAGAAAACCATATTATGCTAGAAATCAGGAACAAATAATTAGGACTAATCTGACTCCATAAGCCTGCAAAGTGCATGGAGGGAGCAAGGCTTTGGTCCATGTTCTTGCCAGCACTAACTTCAGAGAGTGATAGCAAATGCTTGGCATGTCACATTTCCATCCTTCTCAGACTGACTCACTGCAACTCATTAAGCAAGTTCTTGAACTGTCTTTATGCAGGAAATCCCATTTATTTATGAGCTGTTGTCTGTATCATAATCCCAACCTCTTTCTAAGGAATTTAAGGATTGACAACAGCACTGTGAAAAAGTTTTTGATTCAAGATCTGCCCCATAAGGTTAGTGGCTTACTGTGAGGTTTGTCTTGTAACTCTCCATTCTCAGTCTGATGCTCATGTTATTTTATTAGAAGTAAACAATATCCCTGGTAAGGCTTTGCCATGCATTCCAAAGTCCTTTGTTATACCTATGATGGAATAGGATGAAGCAGCTTATGCTACGGGAATAGTAAAACACACTTTACATAGCAAATTATTCTCGGTCTCCTTCATTTCCCCCCTTTTTTGCTTCTTCCACATCTCCAAAGCAATTTCATTCTTGATAACTTTCATTCAAACTTCAGGAAACTCCAAAATCAGCAAGCATGCTGATTACAATAATTCTTACCCAACTGCATGGTGAAAGATGAACTGCAGCAAAGGTATAAGGGAAATCCATATGAAAACAATTCCAACATATAAACTTTCTGGGTACAGTAAGATTTTATGCTGTTGAGGTGCTCAGATTGCTTCAGCTTCTTAGATTCTTATTCTACTTTGTTCTTTAATTCTTCTCAACATTTCTGAGTTATTGTCATCCCTTTTCTATCAATGAATTATATTTGCTCTTCATCAAAGAGCAGGTGGGATAGAATCGCACTGAACTACTTCCATCAGTGTAACTGGCAGCAGGTCAGTTCTTCCTCCTCTCTGCCTCATAATTTGCTCCTGAGAGTTGGGATAATCTGCAGATCTGTGCAGGATTGCATGGAGAGGGAAAGAAAACATTGGTACCCCATGAGTGGATTATTATTCTCATGGCATTGGATTCTCCAAAAAGTATCATGTGATGTTGTACGGGTCAATCTTAGTGGTCCTGCTTTGCTCTCAACACGGGTGATTCCAACCATTTTGGAAGTGTTTTGAGTTCATAAGAGTTTGAACTGGAAAAGCTTTGCACACTCATAGTCAATTTTCCATCTGTACCCCACCCTTTGCAATGAACTACAATAAGAAACATAATTTAAGCATTTTCCCCTAAGAACAGAAGTTGGGTGGAGTTAGAAAGAGGGGAAACCTAGAAAAGAAGCGTTTTCAGCAGTGTTTTATTTACACTTGCTTTAATGTGTAATTTGGCTTCTTACCGCCAAGTGAATGATTTAAGCAAGAGTGAAAGTGGGTAATATCTGATTGAGGCAGGGTATATAAGATGCCTAAAAATCTAGCCTGGACTGTTGGGTTTAATGTTTTATTATTAGACCTGACCATCTTAGTACTGTGTGTTTAATATTTGATCGTGGGAATACAGAGCATTATTGATTTCACTTCTTTTAAATTTCAGCAGCTTCCCAAGAGACAGAGTGAGTTAGTAAGGATGCAAACTATGTAAGTAATATATTTTACTAGCTAAAGAGTTTAGGCCAACATTTTTAAAACAACTTCTTAATTGTTTTCTTTTTTGGAGTAAGGGACAATCCAGCTGTCTGCTTTTGGTGACTCCTCTCTCTCTCTCCCTCCCTCTCTCTCTCTCTCTTTCTCTTTCTCCCACCCTCCCTCTCTTTTCCTTAAGCTTCAAACTATGGGTACCACAGTAGCTGTTCTTTCTCTTCCTTTTGTAAAGGTGTATATCTTATGGGCTTGTCAGTATCTGACTGGGAGGTTTTAGTTTTGCATACTATAGCAAGCTTGGGGATTAAGAAGGGAAAGCTTTGGCAATAAAGGACAAATAAATGGAACTGATACCTTAAAATTATTATCTAGACGTGTTGTCCTCTTGTGGCAAATATAAAAATACAAGTGCTCCTTGCTGTGAACTTTAAATGGCTGTGAAGATTCAACTTGGCCTTAAAACTACTTCATAATATCCTGTTTGGTTAAAAGAATCTAATATGCGTGGCAGAGTTTAGAACAAAGTTAAAGAAAAATAAAAATGGCATAAGAGGTGTAGAAGTTGGCCACTATAAACTAACAGGCATGTTTTCTGTCTTAGACCCTTCGCAGGTGTTACAGCCGAGTGAAGGAACATGGTGTGGGCAAAAGAAAAAGCAGTTACACATTTGAACAGTTGGAGCAGGTCTTTGGTCAAGGAGGATGGGATTCTCAACTCTGCCAACCAGTGCTCATCAATAGCAGTGGCTTATATCAAGAGCTGGAGTCTGATGGTAGCACAATGGAGGAATATTCGCAGGACGAATGGGGGAACCATAGTCAGGATCTTTACTGTTATCAACCAGGCGACCAAGAGTTAGGTAAGATGTGGCAAACCTTACCAATACACTGGTGATTGCTAATTGGTGCCACTGCAACTTCTGTTGCAAGCATGGACTAGCCTTTCTCTTTTGTACATCTTAATGTTCCATGCCTTGAATTTGAGGTTGAGATATCTCATTTTAAGTAAGGAAATGAGGCGGTGCTAACTCTTATTTAGTTAGACGGTTTGACACTCCATCTGCTTGTATATTTATTTATTCATTTATATTTCATCTCTCTTCCAGGAGTTCTAGATGTCATGTATTCTCTCCTCCAGTTTTTCCTCACATATACAATTCTGTGAGATTGTCTGAGCGATAGTGACTGATCCAAGGTCAGCTTCCAAGGTCGAGGGAGGACTTGAATTTGGGTCAACCTGATCCAGGCCCAAAACATTAATCACCGTGGGGCTCTCTTAGTGTACTGTAGTTATATATGCCCAACATCAATAGCTTGTTCATATTTTTGATGCACTAAAAGCTCTCGAGATCTCTACTCTCAAGTCAGATTTCAGAAAACGCAGTTAAATATTGAGAGTTTTGCTTTACACAATGAGACCTCCTGTTAATGTACTAATTGAAGGCAAGGGGTTCCATCATTTGAACTGAGAGAGGGCATGGCCTCCACAGAGACTTGTCATTTGCATGATGATGTAATCCTGCAAACAGTGCAGATTGCAATGGAAATATCCATAGCATCAAAAGGCCTTTCCAGTACGATACAGTACAGTAAGTTTTCACTGTATTGTAGTACTTTGTTTATTGTCCCAGTTAACAGCTGCCATTTGAATAGGCAAACACACTTTTTTTGTCTTTAGTATTAATTGGTATTAATTATTTGATGTAAGCTAGAAATTGGTTTATGAAGTGATATTTGGTATCAGAATGGCCTTTGGCCTCTTGCTTAAGAGTATAATATTTATGAGTCTAACTTTTATTCTCCAGAGCGTTTACCTTTAAAATACTCCAGAAATCCAGCTTTTAATACTCAACCTATAGGAACTATGTTCCTATAAGGATGCCCTCGTGCCCTGGTCACCTCATGACTGGATTATTGCAGTGTGCTGTACATGGGGCTACCCTTGAAGACCACCTGGAAGCTACAGCTGGCTCAAAATGCAGTGGTGTGAGCAGTAATGGACGCCTCCCTCTGTGCCCATGTGTCACCACTGCTATGCGAGCTGCATTGGCTGCCAGTTGGCTTCTGAGTGCAATTCAGGGTGCTGGATATTACCTATAAAGCCCCGTATGGTATTGAGCCTGGATACCTGAGAGACCACTGGTCTCCATTCATTTCTGCCCACCCAATATGATCCAGCAGAGTGGGTGTGCTCCAGGTTGCCTCCATTAAATGTTGCCATCTTGTGGGACCTAAGAAGCCTGCCTTCTCTTTGCGGCCCTCCTCTGCCCAAAATGGCATCCCCCCAGAGATAAGGACAGCTCGCTCTCTCCTAAGTTCCAGAAAGCTTTGAAAACTTGGCTCTGGTCCCAGGCCTGGGGTTGATGTTTAATATTTGTTCAATGCCCCCTGTTTTCTGTTGTTGTTTTTGCCATCTATTAGATTATTTTAGCCTGGGCTGCCTGTGTGATTCAACGTTTTTAGCTGTTTTTATGTTTTTCCTAGTTTTGTATGCCACCCAGAGTCCACTGGAGTTGGGCAGCCAATAAATTTAAATAAATAGATAAGTAAACAAACTACAGTGGTGCCTGTATTCATACTGAAATTGAACACCATTGTAATCAGGATATAATTGCATTTTAAAGTAGCAAAGCTCAGTTGTTACAAATTATTTTAGCCTCTGCCTTACCTTTTAGATGAAATGCCGGCAGTGAAGAAATCACTGAAGATAAAGCAGGAATCTTCAGAAGAGTCTCAGTAAGTACCTTGAATGTTCTGTCTGTGAATTAAGACTCTGAAAGCATCTGCACTTTTCAATGGTAATATAACGGTCTCAACCTTTCCAGCTGAACTGGATCAAAATGATGCTGATGAAGTAGGGCTTTATCCTTGGAAAGTTACAGTGTCTAGCAACTCTGCATGTGTATCGTGAGTGGCCGTGCAAATATTGGCTGTGTTTGCACTGCTTCATACTGGCAGTGCCCTGAATGCGAGGAACCGGATGAAAGCCTATCCAGATGACTCAGTGGATAGACAGAATTGGTCAGGAGGAACCTTCCCATATCTGTGAGATGGGTTGAGCTGAGAGTAAGTTTCCATAGCTCCTAGTTTCCACAACTGAGACTTAAACCTGGGTCTTCCTGGTCTTAATTCAGCTCCTTAATCACTACACCACATTGGCTCTCTTTATAAGATTGTGCTTCTGTCTGGTAATTGCCTTAGATACAAGCATGTGGCAATTCCCATCACTTCTCAGAATATTTGCCACCCAGGATTCATGAACACAGTGCCTTATACAAATCAGACTACTGGTTCAATTTGCTTAGCATCATCCATACTGGACCAGTAGTATCTCCCCTGTTTTCAGGCAGCAAACTTTCCTAACCCAAACTGGAGAGGCCAGAAATTGAATTTGGTTCCATTTTGCATGCAAAGCGTGGGCTCGACATGAGATACCACATTGCTTCATACTACAGGTGGGTTTAAGATACTATTGTGAATTTCTCTAGCAACAATTGATCCTTAGCATCTGATAGTCCTGTTTATGTCTGTTGCTATTTGTGATTGCATCCTTTCTTTTGTTCTAATCTCCTTAATTGCCTGCCTTAAAACTTAGTATTCTTGTGTTCTTTTTATTTAAAGGAAGCGCGACGTAATGCAGAATATTGTACAGATCTTGGAATCCGTCCAGTTAAAATGGGAATTATTTCAAAGTTGGGCAGACTTTTCTAGGCTACACCTTTCTAACAAACTGGCCATATTTGGGATTGGTTATAATACACGGTGGAAGGAGGATATCCGCTACCACTATGCTGAGATCAGTTCCCAAGTTCCCCTTGGCAAGCGACTCCGGGAATATTTCAACTCGGAAAAGCCAGAGGGCAGGATCATCATGACGAGGGTACAGAAAATGAACTGGAAGAATGTTTACTACAAATTCTTAGAGATTACTATTAGTGAAGCCAGATGCCTAGAGTTACACATGGAGATTGACTGGATACCTATTGCTCACTCCAAGCCAACGGGTGGAAATATTGTCCAGTATTTGTTACCTGGAGGCATTCCAAAGAGCCCTGGTCTGTACGCCATCGGCTATGAAGATTGTCACGAGAAGCCACCATCTCCTGATCACGAGGGCATCAGCCAAGAGCCCGAAAATGAGACTCTGGGGGAAACCGAAATGCCCTTGTCACAAGCTTCCCTCAAAGTGGAAATGGAGCCCACTAGAATCATCTATTGTTACCTCGGCATTGCTGAGGTCAGAACTCTCCAGCAGTGCTTGTTTTTACATTTTCAGGCCAACACCAAAACCTTCAGCAAAGAGTGGGTTGGAATCAATGGATTTTTATCACAGAACTGCATTGTGGACCCAGGAATTTCCCCTAAGTCTATTTACATTAAATTTGTCGAAGTGGAGAGGGACTTCCTTTCTGCTGGATCTTTGGTAGAGTGCCTGGAAAAAGCCATTGGTTACCCCTTGAAATTTAACAACTGACTCTCATCCTTTATAAGGATCAGGACTTTGTAAGTATCACCTGTGGCATTTTGGGCATCTTATTATACAAGACTGGGCAAAATCAACTGTTCTAACTGAACTGAAATGAGGAGGACACTTGTAGGGGAGTTTACAAAAGTGTATCTCAAGTCAGTAAAATATGCTGTTTACTTCCTTGGGCCAGTTAGCTGGTTTTATAAAGAAAAGGACTTTGAAAGGGAGCTTTGTAAATACGGCAACTATTGGTACATTCCACGTTGGATGAACGTACATGTTAAGTTTCTTATGAAAAAGCTGTTTTCCACAATGTCTCATTTTTACACATGTGTCTCTCAAGCGTGATTACGGTTATGTAATAAATAAGCAATAGATAATGAGTTTAAACCCAGTCACACAAGACTGTTTTTCAGTGCCACCGTTAGCACCTCTTGTATATAATTTAGCATTTCAGTTTCTTCACCCATCAAGTGTTCTTACAATTTTCAACCAGTGTTGCCTGCAAAAACTTCTGTTTCTGTGATGTATCCCACTTTACTAGTAGTGTTGCCATATCACCTTTTTTATTTTTGTTTTTGTTTTGTTTACATTAAAGTCATCCATGGCCTTTTAAAAAATATTTAGTTAACGTCTGTGTGGCAGTGAAAGTAACTCAGCCGCTGGGAAGCATTTTTTCAAACCATGCTTTTATCAAATACAATCAAAGCTGTGAGAAGGGGTGGGCTTGGGTGGGGGCTGGGGAGTTATGGACCAGGGGAGTAAGCATTTTTAATGCCTCATTAAAATGTTCTGATATAAATCCCATTGCGCTGCTGGCAAGTGCCAGATTTTTTTATTTCGTTTTTTACAAACCTCATTGATCAGTGGAAGTTGTGACATACAATGAATGTGTCAGTCCAAATAAAAACAAACAAATGTGGATTTTCAGAAATGTGTTTTCTTGCTTGATTGTATCTTTATGAAGATGTGTACTGGCATTTTTTAAAAATGTTTTATTTATTATATATATATTTTAATTATTTTGAATGTCTGTATATTCATACATTAGCATTGTCTTCAGAAGAAGAAAAAAGCCCTCAGGATGGCTTATCATGCAAAATCAGTACAGTATTATATGAATAAATATCTATAACAAATATAACATTTCCTAATAAAAATGCAACGTTCTGTATAAAAAATTATTTTCCATCTGCTTGCTGAAGGATCCTCATAATTTTGCAGGCCTCTGGATGCTTCATTGGGGAAAGCATGTGCCATTATCAATCTGTGATCTCTTTGGGCCTGCTTTTCTAGCTCCCCCAAAATGGCCAACATTTGTGCAAAAGGATAAACCAAAGTTCTACAGAACTCTGCTTCTTGTTCACCATCAAGAATATTGGACCTGGCCAAGTTGGCTCCTTCAATTATCATGAATTTGCTTGTAGGAAAAAGCTTAGCTTTGTTTTCCAAACCAGATTTCTAGTTGGTGACTGCCAGTAAAGTCAGATATCATAAGCTAACTTTGAATCCTAACTTCAAACTCAGAATTCCCATTTTGGGCATCACAGTAAATGTTTTCTTCAAAGCAAGTCCCTAGTTCCTGAAGCTTATTCTTGCTCTTGGAAGAATACGAATGGTGCATCAGGATGTTCTGGAATTCTCAGTGACCTGATAGTGGTATGCAGTGCAGGGTCCACCTTAACACACAGGCAAGTGTTTGGGCAGGAGCAACCCCCTGAAGTGCTCTAAAGTAAGGGACGTATAATTTCCAGTCCCAGGGCTACATGGCCCACCAAAAACTTCTCTAGCCCCAGAGATTGCTGCCCAGTTGTAGTTTTTAATGTGACAGAAGGAGGGAAATAATGAACTACTTGGGAAGTTATCATATTAATAATGCTTCACTGAAATTTTAAATAGGGACAACGGCAAATATATTATTGTCAAGAAAACTACATGGAAATGTTCATGAAAACACTTAGAGTCAAACTCAGCTTGAGAGGGTCGTTATCTTTATGTTTTAAATGTAAATTAAGGGGGATTTATCTTTTTATTCTGGTGCACCTGCTCTTCAGGAAATGTAGTTTAGTGTTCCACTCAAGTTTCAGTACAACATTAGGTCCAAATAAACTAATGCACCAAGCAACTCACGCTCCTCGTCCACTATTTTATTCCTCAAAGAGAGCAGCTTTTGGCTTGTGCTCCTATAGAGCTGAAAGCAAATCACTCTCTAAATTAAGTGCTTGCATACTCAAAAGATGCGATGTATTTACCTTTGGCAGATGCTCTGTGGGTATGAAATATGCGCTTTGACAATGAAAATGCCAACGTAAAGGTCACTGAGCTCTATCAGACATCGATTCAGAATCACCGTATATTCTTCAGTCAGGAGAGAATTTGCCAAAATGTTGTGAAATGTCTTAAAGATGTATACGTGTTCATAATTCATAGTATTTTGTAGGATTCTACCATTTCGGCAGCATGTCTGAAAATATGTTTCTGAGGGGTTGAAGTGTTGCTGTCTGAGCTTGTGTGTAATTGCGTCACTTTTTCACAAACAGGATGTGATCAGTTCAGTCCAGCATGCTCAGGTTCTGCATCACGTAGTATGTAATACCTGAGCACACCTGGATGGAGAGAATCGCTTTCTGAAAATAAAAGCCCATTTTGTGATTTGCCACTATTTTATGTCTCTACCCGATTAAATCCAGAAGCGGGGCAGGGTTCCCTAGTATAATAAATGTACCCAAAGAGAAAATTCAGAATCTCATCTCTATCTCGCCTGCCTTTTTCCAAGCATAAGGCTTTCCAGTCATTGTTCAGCAGTTGCTCTTCGGCTGTATTCTAACAGCTTGCATCTTTCTCTGCAATTTCATTCTCAAGATCGGACACAATGCTGAATGTTTGCTGGGGAGGAAGGAAAGTAGGGATTCTCTCCACAGGCTTCTGTGTGGCTGACCCAGGCACAGGGATTGTCCTGTGAATAATTTTGAATGGAAAGATCTACAAGCCACATAAAAATGGTTCCTGGTTATCCCAAACATTCTTCCATTTCAGGAGTATGAGTCAAGAATGGAGGAGGTAATCATTCCTGCTGTAGTAAAACCCTTGCAAATCCAGAATCGATTCAATCTGCAAGTTGTATGTCAGTAAGATCCTGTTCATGAACTCCTGTTCATCTTTCACATCTTTGACTTTTTACGATATGAATTTTTTATTTTGAATATTTGAATATATTGAATATTATTTCATATTTCACTATTACTGTCAGAATCCTCGCAATCAATCAATTACCCTGCTAGTTTGCTTGCTTCGTTTCTGCCATTACAGTAATGGGGAGGAAGGGAGGGAAGGTGGGGAGGTTAACCATTAGGTGCAGATGGACTGTTATCTAGTTCTCAGGAATGCCCAAGGTCGTACCAGCGTGAGACCCGGAGAGAATTGTGGACATGTGCAACAGAGACTCAAAGACAGAAGGGGGGAGGTGAAAGGAGAATGAGGTAAAACTAGGTTTCGGTGCGCGCAGGATTCAGGTCCAGCTATTGCCTTAGAGCTGTGCACTACTTTCCAATAAATGAATTTACTTTGAACCTGCATTGGTTTCAATGAGAGTTGCTTTCATTGGGAACTGAGTACTGCAGTTCTTACAATTGCTTTGGAAGTGGAGTTGAGAGAAAGAGGAAAAAAGAGGAAAGGCATCTATGTGGCATATAGTTATAATAATACATGAGACTGAATTTGCAGGGCTGGGTCACAGAGAGTACGAAGCCCAAAGAGCAGAGAAGCAGCTATGCTTTGTTTAGGCCAGAACTCGGTCCACAGCGGCTAAGCCGACGTCTCTAGGATACTTGAAAGCAGGACGTCACCACCACAGACTTTGCAGTGCTTCTTCTCTAGCGCTTAGCATTCAGTGGCAATTCTTCCTCTAAACTCTTCTCAGGCCACCCTCTTCACCCACTTCGCATTTCTGGTGCATTTCTGCTCTATTGCTCAATTGTAAAACTGATGGAGGACCAGCAGGGCATCGCACCAGTGTGTCTGTAATGGCAACTCTCAGTGCCAGTAATCACAAAACGAGATACCAGCTTTCACGGTCTCCAAAGCTCTTGCCTAGCTCCATGTTTAGCTTTGCTCCTGAAAATCTGTGACCCAGTGATGCCCACTGACTGCATCAGTGGCAACTAAAAGCAGAGGCAGAATCAGCTGAAGATTTCAGAACTCTTCACGGAAAGCTCCTTTCTGTTTCTGCCAGCAGGGGGGGCCGTGCCACAAAAAATGCAAGATTGTTCCAAATGCCAACTTTTTAAAGAATCAAAGCTACTTATTCCCTTAGTAATACTAATGGCTGAACAGCTTTCAGTCTGGAAGCCAAGTGGGGTCTCCCTCCAAAGAAGGAAAAAGGCAGGACATTCCCTAGGTTGATCAAAAGAAACGTTAAAAAAAAGAAAATGTTGAAAATGTGATGGTGGTATTTGCATATTTACTAAGCCCTAAGATTTGGTAGAAGGAAAGAGGAGAAGAGGATGATCAGCAGCAAAGTGGATGGACTCAGTTACCGTGAAGATAGGTGCACAATTGGAAGACATGAAAGACCAGGTTAGGGACAGATCGTCATGGAGAAAATCTATCTGTGTGGTTGCTAAGAGACAACAACTTGATGGAACACAATAATCAAATCCATCAAGATTTCAGGGTTGTTTAAAAAAAAAAATGACAAGGCCCAGAAGCATTCTTGAGAAGTAATGTGGCAACAGGCAATGGTGTGTACAGCTTATCTGGTGTAACTCCCCCCCCCCCCCCCCCCCCC